TTTTGGCTATGTATCTCTCGATTTAGGTTGGGTTCGGTTTGGTTCTCAGATCTGTATATTTTAATATATATATATATATATATATATGTATTTTTTAATCTATCACTCGGGAGGTTATCTTTTGTGGTAGTTTTATGTTAATGGTTCTTCTTGCGATGGTGCTTTAGTTATATGTTTTATTTTCCAACCTTTATTTTAATTTACTGTCTGTTTGTATGTCCAAAGAACTTTTTTCATACATTGTTTTCATTTCTAGTTCTTGATTAATCTTAATTAAAATTAATATATAGGTTTACAAACCATAATATATATAGTTCCTCGATTTGTACTAATGTTATCATTGGGTTACCATCAATATTCAAACTCATATAATACATGTTGTTAACATAATGATTTTGTGATGTTTATAGTTGGAAAAAACGAACTTAAGAGCATCTCCATTGGGGAGATGTCTCACAGTTTCTCACAATTAAAATAATAAAAGAAATAGAAAAAAAGGAATGAGAGAGAGAAACTCTGAAATAATGTGACAATTTCATTTTGCCAGATGTATTAATTCTATTGGTCTAATTTATTTAGATATTTTAAATTTTGTTTAAACAATAAAATCATAACAAAAATAATATATTTTATTCATTAGATACTCTTTTTTAGATATTTACCGATGAGAATGCTCTAAATGGTCATATATATGTTTGACAAAAACAAATTGTCATATATATATATATATATATATATATAATTCAACCATCGGCGAGTTGGGTTAAGCACTCAAGAGAATGTAAAGACGAGATCTTATGGTGCAAGAAATCTCGTTTATGAGAGATGAGTCCCATCAAAATTCTGTTATTTCCAAATAAAGCAGAAACACGCTTACACCACCATCAATGCAACTCAAGAACCTTATATTTATTAGTCTACGTTTAACTCATACCCAAAAGCTAATTCAAAAGAAGAAGATTGCGACACACTTAATTATATATTATCCAAATTTTTTTATTAATTTTCAATATGAGATTCTAATATACTTCTCTCACGCTCAATACTAACGTCTGAAGCGTGAAATTTGTAGGATTGGATATCTACAGGTGATAGCCTATAATTGAGAAGACTGCGCCTTGACTCTGATACCATATTAGTGTTGACCTAACTACATTTAAAAGTTAGCTCAAAAGAAGAAGATTATCAAACATTTATATATTATCCAAATTTTTTTACTAACTTCTAATGTGGAACTCTAATAAGCTTTAATGAGTGTTGACGGAGAGCTTGCAATTTCACCATGTCTTCGTCTGGTACGTTCACGCCATATGGCATGGATCGAGATCTAAAAAACGTACTTCATTATGAACTGCAGTGTACTGGAGAGAGACGAACCAGTAAGAATAGTAAGGATCTCCTTAAGTCCGACGTGTAGTCATTTTGCAGAATTCCCCCAACCAACTTTTTCCAATCTTGATTCAAGAAATTACATGAGAAAAAGATGATTTCTTGTACAATATTATACACTTATGATGTGTATCAACGATTAGAAAAAAAGAAAAAAAAAAAGAAAAGAAAAACTGATAGTTATTCGGTAGACTGAATAAATAGATTTATAGATGTTTCTGTTAGTAAAGGTTGGACATATCATAATGCACCTAACAAAGGTGTTCACATTAATAATTTGATTGTAGAAGTTTAGTCACTAAGACTTGTCACATCACAATGCAAATGATAGAGATATACGTTGCATATAGAGTGACGAGCCTTATTTTTTCTTTATATATTTGGGAATTCAATTTGTGTTATATAATATTTCAAATTTTGATTTTTCCGGCACAAACATGTAAGAATGTAAAGAAAAAAATAATGAAAAGTGATTAAGGTAAATTATCAGCCGACCAAAACGGAAAAAAAAAGGTAAACAAACTTGCAGACTTGCAGTATAGAACCAAGCAAAAGTAATATAGCAGAAATTCACATACACGTGCCTTTCAAATATTATCCTATTTGGTTTCCCAAGGAACCTTTAACATCATCATCTCTTTTGTTGCAAACTAAATTAGCCAATCACCGCCTACATTGAACTGGGTTTTCCTAAATACGTCACTACAATCTTATAAGTATTTATGCATCACCAACGACTTATCCAATAAAAGAACAAGATACCATTTGTAGAAATTTAGGAGGAAAAATATCTTTCAATACAATTTAATAACTAAATTTTAATCAACATTACATCTCGAGAAGATTTGTTTTTTAAAAGTAATGATTTTAAAAGTCAATATTTATTTATTATATATAAAAATTTACAAATTGTATCATTTTATAAGATATTTATATTGTATAGTTTATAATTATTATTATGTAATTATAATCTTATCAAAATCAGACTGATTCGATTTGTCTAATATTGATGGTGTTAAAAAATAATAAAATGAGAATTTAACCCGTATTAAAAAGGTGGATTAATGATATTTAAATTTTTATTAATGTTGATTTAAATTCATCCAGCCATACATGCTTGCAATATAACCCGTCTGTGTTATTTTAATTTTTTTTGTTATGTTCAAATATTCATAACTAGAATTTAACCTACGGTATACCGCGGGGCAAAATTGTATTTTATATATTTTATATAATAATTTATAATTTATTGTATTTTTAAATTAATATTTAAAAAAAAAATCTCATTTAATTATTTTATATTATAATTAATATAGTTGAAATATGTGTAATTAATCTTCATTTAATTATGAAGATTGGTAGATGTACAAATGATATAGTGTTAATATTTGCAAGTATTTATAATTATGGACTATTATAATAATTTGATATTATTTTATATCAAAACTATTTATCCTGCGGTATATTGCGGGTCGATTTTTTAAACTAAAAATTTTAAATTTAAGTTATACTTTTTTTTGTTAATATTGTTTGGTTTGTTTAATATTTAAGATTATATAATTATATTTTTATTTTTAATTCTAGGTTTCACCCGTGGTATACATTCACGTATTAATATCGACTCAAACCCGTCCCACCATATAACTCCGTTTTGTATTTATAATCATTTTTATCCTTTTTATAGTATGATTCTGAACCATTGTCCAAACTTTTAAGCAATATGGGACATTGTACACATACTTTTTTTCATCGATTGAGTAATATATGTCCGTTTTTAAAATTTTGAATCACATTATATGCAGAAAAAATCTATTATTTTATTAATTATTTGTATTTTATATAAATTCAAAATAAATTACTATAAGATCATATAAAAGTGATAGAAGAATTATATATTAATGTTTATATTTGGTAGAGATGTTTTAGGAAAATTTAAAAATAAAATCGATTTGTTACCATATTTGGAAGCCACAGTTTCTAAAAGATTTTTTTTGAAAAGATTTTGTAATATATAAACATTTATGACAATGGTATTCTATTGTAAATATTTCTCAACTTCAGGATTTATTTGCTAAATGTACTTAAAAAATGTATATATAGATATTATAAAATTTTATTGATTTTAAATATATAAATTATAATATTAAAAACATTATAAAAGTTTAAAATTTAATATATTCGGTAAAATTAAACAGTTTAACTAAAAAACCGAATTAAATCGTATACAAACTTTTAAATTTGGATGCTTGTTAAGTTAAGCTCCCTTCTCATTCGGATTTTATTTTGATTTTATTTATAATATGACTCTGAATCATTGTTGAAATATTTTAGTCGATGTTAGACGTTAAACACACATTTTTATTAATTGAGTAATATATGTCCGCTTTTTAAATTTCGAATCACAATATATGCCGAATTTTTTTTTGAGATTTTTCTTAATTTTGTGTATTATATAATGATATAAAACAGTTAACAAAAATCAAACAAAATGATAGAAGAATCATAATTTTAAATCTTAACTCAATCTTCTAAATATCTATATTGTTAAATAGGAAATATCTAGTGTAAGAGTTTAATTTCTTATAATCCGATCCAAAGAAAAATATAAAATGTCCGGTGTAAAAATTTGAAGTTAATTTTGTACCGGATCAGATATCAAAAAAATTCGGATAAACTTTTTATGCACCCAATACAAAATGTACTTTAAAAATACTAATATAGATAATCTTATAAAAAAAATCTTTCAACCATTCGTTTGTTGCAAGATAATGAAATTAAATTTCTGTTATAATATGGATATGAACTGGGTTTCTCTAAAATACGTCACTACACTCTTGTTATATACAATATTGAATATACTAATATATTTTTATTTATTTGTAAACAATTTAAGTATAACATATTTATAGTCCCATTTGCTGAGATTTATGGACCACCAACGACTTATCCAATTGAAGAAAAAGATCACATTAAGAGGAAAAAATAACTGTAAAAAAGAAATTTAGAGAAAGAAAAACTCTTTCAATATTGAACAAAAAAAAAAAAAAAATCTTCCAACCATCAACGATTTTAAAACACAAACGATTAAGTAGCACTATTGAGATCAAGGATTCAAATCCCTTAGTATATACAATATTGATTAAGAAACTGATTTTAAAACCGAAAAAAAAAAATAGAAATAACAGAGAAGATTTAATACTTCAAAAATAAAATAGAAAGAAACAAGAGATATGTATTAGTAATTTTGTTGCTGAAATTGTAATGAAATTCTTGGTCGAGGCAAATTGGATCCGGATATTGGCCAAAGTGAGTACATGAATGTGGTTTATACATGACATGACTTGCTAATTCATGAAACTAATACAACTGGATATTTAAAATCCATAATTTCAGTTGAGTTAATTGATAAATCTAAATCCAGAAGGAAAAGAACCACATTCATAATTAAATTACGTGTAAAAGAATTAAATTTACCTACACAGGAGATGATAAAGAATTGCAAAGCGATTTATGAGATCATGTTAATTTACGTGTAAAAGGTTTATGTAGCTAAATCGGAATTGTAATTGAATCTAAGTAAAATTCAATTGAAGAAACTAGGGGCTTGAATATTTTTAAGGTCATTTATTGAAATAAAGCGGGAATACATTATGAGGTTGGGGCAAAAAGTGGCATGAATCATATAATATGACCGCAGATTTTAGAAATCGGTCACACAAATCCACCAAAAGACAAAGATATGCTATCAAGGATGCCAAGTTGGTTCGATTCTATACAGCATCTGGCTAACTATCAACAATCGGACAACCAAAACCCGAAATAGAACTAACATATACTCAAAAAGGTTGAAGGAGAATCCTGCAAGTCCTACTTCCATCTCGTGTTAACCTTGAATCAGAGACTGTTAAAGGTAGCGAGTCTAGAGTGACTAATGTCGAGAAGTCTGTCTGGGCTTGAAGACGCCCCACAGGTAATACTTCGAGTTAAAAGCTGCAAACGATAATCACCCTTCTTAGCTTTACCGATTCATGCGAATAATGAATGATTACAGATAAACAAATTCCATTGACTTACTCCAAGAATCCTTTGGTAACATATAAGAGGTGAACAGTAGAAGTTCTGCATCATTAAGCACAAATCTCATCGCGGAATCATTCGTCTTCATTTTATCAACAAGGGAATTGAAAACCTTTTCATCATTACTGGAAACCGAAAACAAAAATGGTCAGACACTTTTATAGCATAGGGAGAGAAAACAAAATCAGTGTTTCATGTATACCTTTCACTGGAAGGGAAGAAAAACAGAGCAATACTTTCATCCTTAGGTCCTCCATTCTTAAGAAAGGTTTTTGGCCATACTTCCAACCTGGGAAGTACTTCAGCAGAGAGGGAGCCCTTTAATGAACTCGCCGTTTCATGGACTTTAGGACATGCTAAGCTTGATACATGAGCAACAATTCCATCCATGATACAGTTGTTTCCTCCTTTAACAGACATCAATCCCCTAGAAATTGACAAAGCAGATCAGAATTCAAGCAAGCGATGATGCAAAGCGATACAACTAAAGAGCATTTTTTTCTTTACCTCCATATCGGTATTTTGATAGGTTGTGCTCTATAATGCCTAGATGACAACCTCTCAGTCGTTTGAGGCGTATTTGATTCAGCCACTTTGCAAGAACTATTCCCATCAGCTAACTGTCTATTTTCAGCAACCGGTATGCTTCCAGAACTTAATTTTCTTTTTTTGGTGACACAAGAATTATAATCAGGCACACTAGATGAATTGGCGGTCTCCGAAACAGATGCTCTATCTCCAACTAAACCAGTCAATTCATGAGGTTTTCTACTATCTGAGTTTTCTTGTCTCTTAGACTCCATCATTTCTTTAGTTGGTGAAGAAGAAGACACCCCCACATGTTCAACATTCGTAGTATCCCGAATCTCATGTTCCTCGACAGCTAAAACCGGTGGTGAATGATTGCTGCTCTTTTTCTTCTTCTTCTTCTTCTTTTTCTCACTCTTCTCCAAGTTATGTCCAGTCTGATCAACTTCTTTCCTTTTGCTGGTACAAGAGCTATGATCTGGTACACTAGATGACTTATCCGCCTCCGAAACAGATGCTCTATCTCCATCTAAACCAGTCAATTCATGAGGCTTTCTGCTACCTGAGCTTTCTTCTCTCTTAGATCCCACTGTTTCTTGAATTGGTGAAAAAGAACCCTCCACAGGTTCAACATTGGTAGCATCCTGGAGCCCATTGTCCTCAGCTAAAACCAGTGGAGTGCGATTTCTCCTCTTCTTCTTTTTCTTCTTCTTCTTCTTCAAGATATGTGTAAGCTTAGCAGTTTGATCAACTTCATTGCAATAAGAATCACTGTCACTCGCATCACAGTCCTCACAAATCCAAGTTATGTATTCCGTAAAAGGAGTCGGTGTTATGCCTATACAATAGCTGAACAACAACAACAACAACACCGAAACTTATAATGAAAAACAAAATTGTATTCACAAATTCAATCAAACCACAGGGGAAAATCGAGAACCCAACTCACCGGTGAATAGACTCAATCTTACAAGAGTCACAAAAGACTAGTGCTTCTTCAAAACCAATGTCGCCACAAGTTTGACAAACAGGTGCCTGAAATAAAAAAGCTTTCTTTATAAAAGATCAAAATTTTCCAGATTTAAAGCAGCCCTGAGTGAAATTTGGCATCAAAAGTAAGCAATAGAGCTTATGTACCTTGATATGTAAAGACATTAGAGAGAGTAGTGTGAGCTTTTGCAAGGATCAGAGGAAGAAGAAGAAGAAGGAAGAGATATCATGAGCTAACGATTTTGCTCCGGTTTAGGGTTTAGAACAAATTTGGGCTTTTTATGTTCGGCCCATATTAACCAACATTCCGATTACGCTGTATAATTTTCACCCACCCAGTTAAAATATTGGGTTGCTGCATCTTCCATTTTTTTTTAAATAGTAAATAGAGTAAATGTTGGTTATTGCTAAATGTAAAACTGAATTTTATCAAAGTATTTTTATTTGGATCTGAAAAAATCATATTTGAAATCATCTGAAATAGCATATATAATATATATTTTTGTATATATATTTTTATATTTTAACTGGATGATCATTTTCATACCTCCTTAAATCATTCAAGGTATGAAATATTTTTAATAACATAAAATTTTTGAAAATAAAATATTGCTTATCGTACCTGTAGTTAAATTTCCTATAAATATGGTTCATGGTACTTTTAATAAAAAAATTGAGAAAATAAATTTGGCTTACACATGTAAGATTCAACTAGTAATTACTAAAAGAACAAAAAAGACAATACGGAATGGGGCAAGCAATTTTTGAGGAATGAAAAAAAAAGAATGTAAAGAATGAATAAAATGTATCATTATGATGAATAGTAACTAAACAATAATAATATCTTAAAAATATATTAAATCATTAATAAATCAAATTCAATGAAAAAATTATTATTAATACCAAATTCCCAAACATACATATTAATATATCAGTCGGTATCTAAATTCCCAAAACATATTAACTGTCAAAATTGAGAGGAGAATTGAGTGATAAAGTTATAATCTTTACTGAAAATTTCAATGAGAAAATGTTAAAAGTTTGAAAACAAGTCATCCGAAATTCAAATCTCAGGGGATTCAAATGCAGTGATTAACTTCGGAGCTCTTAAACTATCTCCGTCTTCGGCCACAATCGCCTCTCCCACATCCCAGTGAAAGTTTGAAATTTTTAAACATTTCCTCATTTTTCGCTTTCATGTTTATTAAGTGATTTAGTTAGTTTTTTTATATAAAACCTTTTAAGGGTTGGAAATGTGTGTAACCAAAGATTGGATAATTCAATTACAAGATATTTTATTCATTTGAATACAATAATCTTATGATTTAAATTGATGTCTCTCACTTACATTCAATCAAAAATTGAGAAACTTTTTAACAAAACAAAAAAAACCTTGAGAATTTTGTTTTTTGAATTAGATTGTAAAACCCATGAAAGCGAGGGAAATTCATTTTAAATAAATATTTTATTATTAAAATTTAGTTAATTGCGTTTTTTTTTTATTAAATTACTATGATAATGAATTGGAATGTTTGAAATATTATGTAAAATTTAACATATTTTTATGAATATAATTATATATTTCCAATATAAGTGAATATAAAACTGATAATTAATGTCTGATAAATAAACCCATGTTAGTAAAAGATGCAATTCATTTCTAATATACGGTTGTGTGATAATAGATATAAAATATATTTAAAATAAATAAATACATCTCAAAATATATGACTAAACTGTAATAAAAGTTTTAAGTAAACAAAATTTTATGATAAAGATGTGAAAGTGATCGTAGTCCAGTGGCAAATGATAAGTCCACTGAGAACATACACCATCATACCATTGATCGATTCCCGATCTCTACAAATGTCGGGATTTGGCTAATGTGTCGGTCAGTTGTGGCCCGTTGACAAAAAAATTATGATAAAGATATGAGACTGTCCAAAGTATCTTTGATATGATATGAGACTGTCCAAAGTATCTTTGATATGATATTTAATGAAAAATTCAACCTAAATACATATATTATTATGAAAACACGAGACTATAATAAAATGTATAAAATAGAAAGTTATGATATAAAGACACCATCCAAACTAAAAGTACGTATGAAACGAAGAGTCGACAAAAAATAAGACATTCCAAATTTTTGTTTAAATCGAATAATTGAAAAGATACTTCAAGAAAATATACGATTAAAAGACGCAACTATATCTTTTTCTTTCTTATTTTGATTTTGGTTTTCATATTATGGATCTTGATTCGCGCTTGATAGTTAAATATTATATTTTAAATAATAATTTTGAAAGCATTTAATAATGATGGTTGTAAAACATAACTTTTGGGATTTATTTCTCTCTTTTAAAGAAAAACGATTCCTTGATATCAAATTGAGATTACAATATATCAGTATACTTTTCATAAAGCAAATAATTACATAAGCATGTATATACACTATATAGTAAGAAAAATATACGATTACTAATCCCAAAAGTTATAAGCTTTACTAGATCATTAAAACATTATTTTTCTTCTTCATATTCGATTTTCTTTTGTTGAACTTCCATATTATATTAGACAACGCATGATAAACAGGCCCGTGGCTATGAAGGAAAAATAGAAACATTGGCCTACGGCCATTTTTAAAAAAAATCAACTAAGCTTTTAACTTTTGTTTTCATATTGGTTTAGTGCTTTTTGTTTATTAATACAAGATTTGATAAAACATAAACAAAGAAAATGAGACTACGTTTTAAATTAGTAATTATGAGTTATGATTTACAAACTAAATTATAACTTATAGTTTTTCAAAATAAATAAATAATTATAACTTATAAAAGAGACTTACTCAATTTGTTTGGAATGATGATGATTAGTAGTTTATAAACTTTGTTTTATATATCTAGGTAGCGTTTAGTTTTGGGGAAAATCCTAAATCCTTCGAAAAAATATGGTTAACATGCACCTCTAATTTGATCTCCCATTTATAAGAGGACTATTAATCCGTTTTGGTCTCACATATTATTTTTTTTCAAAAAATTATTTTATATGGGTTGAGGTTTTTTATAACATCGCCTCTGGTGTCTGTAATCCTAGACACACGGCTCTGATGATAAAACCCAATATTTCCGAAAACATTTATAGAAATGTCAATACTCTACATTTTGAAACAAGCAAGGTGTGAATTCTGCTCTTTTTCTTCTTCTTCTTCTTCTTCTTTTTCTTCGTCTTCTTCTTCAAGATATTTGTAAGCTTAGGAGTCTGATCAACTTCATTGCAATCAGAATCACTGTCACTCGCATCACAGTCCTCACAAATCCAAGTTATGTATTCCGTGAAAGGAGTCGGTGTTATGCCTATGCAATAGCTGAACAACAACAACAATACCGAAACTTATAATGAAAAACAAAATTGTATTCACAATTCAATCAAACCACAAGGGAAAATCGAGAACCCAACTCACCGGTGAATAGACTCAATCTTACAAGAGTCACAAAAGACTAGTGCTTCTTCAAAACCAATGTCGCCACAAGTTTGACAAACAGGCGCCTGAAAATAAAACCAAAAGAGCTTTCTTTATCAAAATTTTCCAGATTTAAAGCAGACCTAAGTGAAATTTGGCATCTAAGTAAGCAATAGAGCTTATGTACCTTGATATTTACAGACATTAGAGAAGAGTGGTGACTCACGAGAGCTTTTCCAAGGCTGAGGAAGAAGAAGACGGAAGAGATATCATCTAAGGCTTTGCTCCGGTTTAGGGTTTTTATCAATTTGGGCTTCTATGCTCGGCCCATATAAACCAACATTCCAATTACGCGGTTTATGATAGAGAGCCTATAACCACAGATCCTACGAATAAAATAGAGAGATCAATGTTGAGTTGTAGAAACAAATATCAATGTTATTTTCTTATCTAAGTATTAAGAAAGTGGACATGTATTTTTTTTTTCTGAGTATTAAGTAAGTGCACATGTACCGATTTATGAAGGGTATTTTAAGTTTATGTTTGGTTTTCTCTATATGTATTTTTGTAGTCGTCTCCATGAATTATCAGAACTAGGTCGAAATCCGCACTACGTCGCGGAATATTTTTCTAATTTTTTTTATATAATATAAATATGATTTGTAATACTTAAATTAAATTTTAGAATTTGATGTTTTATCTTTACTTAGATTGTAATAATTTTTACTTCTCGTAATTTATTTATTATCTATGTGGTAGATTTTGTAATCAGAATTATATATAGTTCTTTTTACCAATATTAATATATAGTGAGAAAGGTGATGTTGCAAAAGTAAAATTATAGTCTCTTTTTCAATTGGTAATTTTTTTTGTTAGGTTATTTTCAAACTTGTAATTGATCATCACATTTCATGGATCTTCAGGGTTAATTAGATAGTCGGTTTTATCGGTCCGACCGAAACTAATTTAGACATTTTAAGCACATTCCTCGCTATTAGTAGCTTATCACTTTCACAACCGTTAAATTTTGGTTACCTAATAAAATATTACATTATGTAAAAATCTATTACATAAAATCTTGGTTATTGGTATCAAATAGAACTAAATGATATATTATGGAATTATTTTTATCCCATTTCACATCTAACTTATCAGAGTCTACGTTATCTCTATTTCAGATACTGTCAAGATGCTTAAGGGCTTGGGTTACAGAATTTAAGTGTTGATGATATATTCATCAAATTTAAGTGTTGATGATGATCAACCATCATGTTATAAGATAAACCAGAATGTTATCAATAAAGCGTTGGTTCAATAAACCGCTCGAAATCTTTCAAAGATACAAGTGGAAGAAAGTAGTCTCGATACAGAGAGCATATGAGCATCCTTATTATTTAACATCCATTCTCATTTTTTAATAGACATAAGACTTGACCATTTATCCTTCTTTTTCTTTCACTTCCTCCATCCTGAAACCAAAGTAGAACGTCATTGGATTCTTCAGGTCAAATAAAAATGATACAATACCAAAGACAGAGCAGACCAGAATTGAAGTTCTTTTTAACTGAAATTAACAAACGAGATCATGCCTCTGCACTTATGCAGTGTTTGTTGACGATTTTTTACCCTAAACCTTTTACATGTTTCTCATATTATGGAGTGTATGTAGTTTAAAACCAGCGCATTAGGTATAATATCTATAAGGAGACATGTGTCAACCGACGAAGATTAAGCATACCTTCAGGTTCTTTTGCGTTTCAGAGTTTTGATGTCGTCTAAAATGAAACTAAACACTTCCTTCAGTATTGCTTTTCTTCCTTCTTTGAAGTTCCACAGTTCTAGATTTGTGTACCGACCACTTGCATTATACTCATTCATCTCCTCAAGATCTGTTTTAACTTCATTATGCACCTCTTCTCCCCACTCTCCTTTAAGCTTATTCAGCTGCTCATCCTCCTCGTCAACCACTTCATGTAACCATAACCATCCACCATTACTCCTAACTTACAAAAGCAGTTGTACCAACATATGGATACAAGTATCAACATTAATTCATAGAATCATATGCTATTCCTAAATATTTAACTAAAAAATGGCCCAAAAAGGATCAGAAAGACCAGACACTTTTCAAAGTCATAATGACGTCAACCTAAATCAATGATTGAGTGAGATAAAGACAGGTAAAATGAATGCACCTACCTTTGCTTTGTCCATGGTTTCTTCACGTTTGAATGGAAGCCGTGATGGATTCTTGAGGTCCTCTTGCCATGTAGAGCAAAGGGCCTATTTCCACTCCTACTATTTGGACGGTTCCGTTTCCTACCCACACAACGAGTTGGTGCTTATTTCAACAGTTTTCGTAACAAATTTCAAATTAACTACCCATACTCTATGTTTATAGTTGAATTCAACATTGGCTCAAACAGACGTTAGTCAACCGTTAAAATAGTAGAGTCGGATGACACAGTGGCAATTCAAAAGAGGGAAAAGGTCCTATTTCCACCATTACTATTTGAACGGTTCCTTTTCCTACCCACACAACGAATTTGTGCCCATTTCAACAGTTTTTGGAACAAATTTCAAATAGTAGGGGTGGAAATAGGCCATTTTCCAGCAAAGGGTAGGTATCTTCATTTGCAAACTATCTCTGCTTGTAAACATTCATGAAATTAAATGTTTTTCATCAAGTTCCTCATTCTTTTTACTCTCATATCGGTTTCGACACCCACCAATCCTGCAAACCCTGGAACAAAGAGCTTTCCTTAGAGTATTCTAACCACAACAACATAAGCAACAATTAATAACTCACAAGATTACTCCAACTTTGGTCGTTGGTACAGACAATATATATGCATCTTCTAGACAAGACATAGTGGTAAATATCTTTGATTTTTACCAGAGTTCTACATCCATCATAGACCGTAAGAGTTTATGGATCTTCACGGTTGTATAGTAGTTCTCAAGAATAGGATTATGTTGAGAATCTGTTCAATACTTACTACATGATCATTTTTGATAAACTACTCGATGGAATGACACATCAATCGTCTCCATCGAATTAAAAAAAAAGATTCCGACCAACAAAACCCCATTCATTCACAAACAATCGAAACTCTGCTCTCTCGTCTTTTTCTACCTACTCCTCATTCATACATCTACGCCAAGGGAAATGGAGCTCTCTCTGTTAAAAGGATTCCTTCGGTTTACGCCAGGGAAATGGAGCGTCTCTCTGCTAAGGGACCACTGATTCTCGCCTTAAATTTTTTAAGTTAAAATACCTTTCTTTTCTCTTCTTTACGTCTTTGAATTTCTTAAAAATTGGAATTTTCAACTGTAATTTCTTAGAACTTAGTGAAAATTAGGTTGAATTTAGCATATTGGGAATTCTTAGAGTGCTTGGATACATCCACAGGTTGCAGTTATGGAACGTTCTTAGTGAGATTTGTGTTTTTGAGTTCTATCTGTTTGGAGTTCTGAAACCATTTTAGATTACTGTTCAATGATGCTAGAGGATTTGAGGCTCTAATTACATGGAAGATTACTGGTATGCAAAGGATTGATGTGAATGAGAGAATAACGACTCTTGAGCGGCTTAATCCAATTCTCGTATTCGTTTCATCAGGGGAAAAGATTGGCAATGGCTTGAGAGAGAGACAGAGTGACGTGGAGGGAGAGGTGAATATTACTGGATAACAAAACTGAGCTGTATTAATGTTATAATTCGATTGGATAATTTTTTTTAATGATGTGTCCTGCTGAGAAGAGCTGAAAAAGCTGAGGTGTCGCACAGGAGAGAAACCTAGTGTTATTATTGTATTGATTAATGTCACAGGCTTATTTTTGAAAATCGTGCGGCAGTCGACAATCTCTAATATTGCTGACCCGAATTTCGTATTATGGACCAACTCTGATTGATTTCACCCTTTTTTGGGCTCATCAGGTGATCGGCTCCAAATCACGACCAGTTTGTGCAGGGATGGCCTAAACCCTTTTTCTAAGTCTGATTCTCGATCAGCGAGAGACACCAAAACTCCACCTAAGTTGTTCAGCGTAACTTCAAAGGGACTTTCCAACTAGAATCATGCACACCCCTCACTGACGCACGTTCACCTGCCCCAGTGGATTAGCTCCGCGGAAGTAACGCAACTGTCATGAACCGTCTCAAAAAATGAGTCGTGACATCCCACCCATCAATATAGACACCTTTGTAAAGTAAAAAGAGAAACAATGATGATTGGTTAAAATAAGTTTACTTTTTTTTTTGGTTATTTAAAAACGATTACCGATATAGAAAAAATATCTCCAACTTGGGTGTCTCTAGTAGATCTATTGTCTAAATAATAATCATTAAACATAATACAATTTAGTCATTATACAAAACTATTTGTTGTCTAGTCAAATGCAAAATCTAATATTAGTTTAGTTTATAAAACATATCATATCCCTTATAAATATTCATATTTCCATGAGCAAGTTAGAATAATTTATTTCTTCATTAACATAAGCAAGAGTTTGACTGGATTCCACGGTGCAAGACAATTTTTAGCTATTTTTTATATCCATTTTTTAGTATTTTTATTTAACATATATTTTGCTTTTGTGAGTATTATGTATTTTAAAAAGTTTGAATTCAAAAAGTATAAAAAGTAAATGAAATGATATAAGTTAATTTCATATAAAGTAAAACATTTTTGACTTTACTTTATACTAAAATATGTATTTTACTTTAGAAATTTGATAGAAAGTAAAAAAATTTTTTGACATTGTTAAATAAAATTAAATTATATGGTATAATATTCTATATAGTTGGAAAAAAAAATTCTATACAGTTTTCATTTGTTTCCCAAATTTACAATATGAGAAAATTGAATTCACATGATTATATTGCAATTACACCAGCACAAATATTTTGGCCACGTTTATGTGGTTGAATAACTATAAAAAAAAAAATATATATATATATATATATATATATATATATATATATATATATATTACGTTTCACACTACACAAGTTTTATACAACGTAAATTTGGGGGAAAATAATGAAATTTTTATAGATTAATTATTATTGATTAATATAATTTTATTTACGAAAGTCAACATGTTTTTCATTATTTCAATTTTTTAAAAAAATTTTGTTGTTGCTATATCCAACTATACGTTGATATTGATATGTATACCCTATTGGTTCTGTTTATTCTATCTTCGTTCCATACTATTTCTTCTGCTTTCAAAACTGATCATAAATATCCAAACTAAACCTACATTAATTTCCATATTCTTTATAGAGCTAAAAAAGATGAGACCCAAATGATAACTACATTGGACAAAGACAAAACAAACATCTATGAGGAAAACAAAAAAAAACAGACACGCGAACTTGATCAAAGAAGCAATATCCTAAAAAGGTACAAAATCAGTTCATAGCAATCATCTCATCAACAAAAGTAGCTCCATCAATTTGTGAGCTTTACTAGGGACCTGACTACCAGATGAAACTATATCAAACTCGAATTCAAATTTACTTTCCTCATGAATCCATAGATTCAAAAACACTTCCTTTGTTTAATAAATATCAAATCTTTATTCTTCTTCATGATTAAGAATACCAAATAAACCGAATAAAGCTAAACAAAAGCCAAAATAAGGATCGAGGGAGAAGCAAAGAAGATAAAAACTTGAAACCGAGGAAGAAGACAACTAGAAGAAAAACTCTAGAGCCTCGCGGCGTGGCTGCATCGATTGGGAGCTTCAGGTTCAGAGAACGAGGAGAAACTGACATGATCCGAATAAAAACAGAGCTGGAATACTATAAGCGGCGACTAAGCCGAAAACTAAGCCGAAAAGTTATATAGAAGCATAGAAAAAACACACTTCACTTAGCAAATAAGTGAACAAGTTTTAAGTGAGAAAAGTATGCTTACTACAGAAACTTGAAGCAGTCATGATTATTTGGAAAGCAAAAAGATCGCATCATTTGCGTTGCTGAGTGCATGGTATCTTGCATTTATATCCGCCACAACGTTTTCAAAACGTTTTCTATTGCGTTCCATTTCACCATCAATCTGTTTGAGCTCCCTATTTCCATTTTGAATGCTCTTTATAATCTTCTGCTTTTGTTCCGTCAAAAAAGAGAGCTCATCGTCCATCGAGACCACCTCTGAACAAAGATCTTTGCGTGACTTTTCAGTTTCATCATAGATTTTGGTAACAGCAACCAAACGCTAATTTTCACTGCCAACTCATTCTCCTTTTCTTCAAGCTACTTTGTTACAATTTCCCGCTCTTCTTTCATTTCGAATGCTTCTCCTTGAATGATTCTAACATCCATAGAGATTTGATCAAGTCGTTTTCGGTAGTGGATGCACTAGAAGAGAGAGTTAGCTTTAAATCCTCTAAATCAGAAATATGTGAATTCAAGAGACGGGTTTTCTCTAGGCATTCATCTTTGGTTGGCGAAGCTTGTTTCTTCTCCAAAAGATGCGTTTCTGCTATGGCTAAAGTTTGAAATCTCTCTACCAAAGCCACCTCACGTCCATCAAATGCACCCATTAATTCCATGAGATTCAGAGTAGCAGCTTCTACATCCGTGGAAGGAAGTGAAGTGTCCTGTAACAAAGTTAGAATAACATCCTTACTCAAAAACGCAGCAACAAAACTTGAGAAATCCAAGCAAGCGTGGATTCATGGATTTGGTTTTGGTGAGTGGCGACTCCTTGTCTCTTTCCTTGTCTTTTACACTTTTAGTCGCTAATTTTCAAATTGCATAGCTGATTTATCATGAATCAAAAATTTCAGTCACCAATTACAAAGATTGATCGCAACGATTAATCACATGTACTTGCGACTGACAAACGAACAAAAACCAGTCACAATTGCAGAACTCCTGCGACTACGAAACGAACAACCCAATATTATTGCTATATCCCATTAAAAATCATAAGTTTTGAAATTGGGACCAAGTTTAAAATCTTGTTAAAAAAAAAAGAATCTGCTCCATTAATTTAGTAAATTAATAAAACAAAATTATGTATGAATCTCATGGCAAGTTGACAACCATTTAATTTCTTTATAATAAATCAAATCTCATAAGAAAAAAATAATAATAAATAAATAAATCAAATCTTATGACAACCTTTAAAAAACAATACTATAAGAAAATATAAAAATCTCACGAGCAACACACACAAGTAGAGGTGTCAAGCGGGCCGATAGCCCGCGGGCTATGTCCAAGTAGACCACGGCAGGGTGGGCTACAAATGTTTAATAAAAATATATAAATAAATACTTTTACATAATTCTGAAAATATATATGTGAAATATATGAACACATAACAAAATTTAATGTATAAAATTATAAGATTTACAAAAAAGTTAATACTAAAAGTTTTTTTAAAATTAAAAAATTGTTAATTTCAAATTTTAAAAATTAATTTTATTTTTTAATTATTTTAAAAATATTAAAACTAAGCCCGCGAGCCGGCCCGCTAACCGTTGGGCTTAGCGGAGCGGGCCTGGATATATCATTTTTGCCCGCGGTCCTAGTGGGCCGGCCCGTCGTGGTCACACAAACTCAAATGCCCATCGCGGGCCGGCCCAAATGGACGCGGACTGGCCTGTCTGACACCTCTACACACAAGTGACTACGAAAGGGCAAAAGCAAAGAGAATCAAAATTTGCCTCTTCTATATAAATAAATCAACGAAGAAGCGGCTCTCTCGTTTTGTGTGTGTGTCTCTCTCTCGTTTTGTGTGTGTGTCTCTCTCTCTTTGTCCCACCATTTTCACCGCTTCTCCTCCAATCTCTCAGATCTACAGATTCCACCAGATTCCTTTATTACAATGGTTGGAGCTTTTGAATCTGATCAATCCCTAACAATGGCCAGCTTAATCGAAAAACTCGACATCTTATCAGACGACTTCGATCCAACCGCTGTAGTCACCGAACCGTTACCTTCTCCGGTAACAAACGGAATCGGAGAAGTCAACGATGAAGAGAAGAATCTGATGATGAAGAAGACGGAGCTTAACGGAGGAGGAGGAGAAAGAGAAATGGTTCTCGGTAGGAATATACACACGACGTCACTTGCTGTTACGGAACCTGAGGTTAACGATGAATTCACCGGAGATAAAGAAGCTTATATGGCTAGTGTTCTTGCTCGTTACCGGAAAACTTTGGTCGAACGAACCAAATTTCATTTAGGTAAATCATCGTTTTGATTTGATTTTTTTTTTTTTTTTTTGAATCTTTGAATTGGAATCGGAATCGGAATCTGGTGGTGTAGGTTATCCATATAATTTGGATTTCGACTATGGTGCGCTTGGTCAGTTACAACATTTTTCGATTAATAATCTTGGAGATCCGTTTATTGAGAGTAACTATGGTGTACACTCAAGACCTTTTGAAGTTGGTGTGTTGGATTGGTTTGCTCGTCTTTGGGAGATTGAGAGAGATGATTATTGGGGTTACATTACCAATTGTGGTACTGAAGGAAACCTTCATGGCATTTTAGTCGGGTACGTTTTCGATTATCGATCTTTGATTCATTTGAAACCGAAAAAAACGGTGTTTGATTTGATGCTTGTTTGTAGGAGGGAGATGTTTCCGGATGGGATCTTGTATGCGTCGCGGGAATCGCATTACTCTGTGTTTAAGCTGCTCGTATGTATCGAATGGAGTGTGAGAAGGTTGATACGCTTATCTCGGGGGAGATTGATTGTGATGATTTTAGGAAGAAGTTGTTGGCTAATAAAGATAAACCGGCGATTCTTAATGTTAACATAGGTTGGTGTATCTTTTTATTAGTTTGGTTTTGTTGTATTGGGATTTTTTGCTGATTGTTGAATCTTGTTTCTGTAGGAACGACGGTTAAAGGAGCTGTTGATGATCTTGACCTTGTAATCAAAACTCTTGAAGAGTGTGGTTTCTCACATGACAGGTTCTATATTCACTGTGATGGAGCTTTGTTTGGACTTATGATGCCTTTTGTCAAACGTGTAAGTGTGCAGTCTTAAGTCGAAGCATTTTGATAACCTATATTGTGCTCTGAGGCTCTGAGCTGTGTTTTCTCTCCTATCTGCAGGCACCAAAAGTCACATTCAATAAACCGATAGGGAGTGTGAGTGTGTCGGGCCACAAATTTGTAGGGTGTCCAATGCCTTGTGGTGTTCAGATAACAAGAATGGAACACATCAAAGTCCTCTCCAATAACGTTGAGTACCTCGCTTCGAGGGATGCAACAATCATGGGAAGTCGTAACGGGCATGCTCCTTTGTTCCTTTGGTACACCTTAAACAGGAAAGGGTACAAAGGATTCCAGAAAGAAGTTCAGAAATGCTTGAGAAATGCGCATTACCTCAAAGACAGACTCTGTGAAGCTGGGATCAGCGCCATGCTTAATGAGCTTAGCAGCACCGTGGTCTTTGAACGCCCCAAGGATGAAGAATTTGTTAGAAGGTGGCAGCTCGCTTGCCAAGGCGATATTGCTCATGTGGTTGTTATGCCAAGTGTTACAATCGAGAAGCTCGATAATTTCCTGAAAGACCTTGTCAAACACAGATCGGTCTGGTACGAGGACGGATCTCAGCCTCCATGCCTTGCATCAGAGGTAGGAACCAACAACTGCATCTGTCCAACTCACAAGTGACGGCACCATTTTTCATATGTTAGCATTGTTGTTTTCTCGTAAACCACATCTAGTTTAAATTCTTCACCACTGTAATCCTGAATTCGGTTTCCATCATCGTAAAATTTTGTCAGTTTCTCTTATTTCAAGTTAAGGATTCGAACAATGTTCCCAAAACGCCTAGTGCTGCTAATGGATTGTTTACCGGTTGTAATATTTTTTGGGTTAGTAAAAACGTTTGTAGCTCAACTAGAGCATGATCAACCTACTCTTCTCCCCCAATCCATATGCAATCTTTTACAGTTTTACCCCAGTTTAGCAATTACCGCAACTGCAGATAGATGCCTAATGCCACTGATTTAGCTGCGTTTTAAATGATTGGTGCTAAATGCCTAGCAAAAGTTTTTACTATAAAGATTTCTGGATATATTACAGTAGATACTACTCGTGATGATATCGCCATGACATATCTGCATACACGTAAGATCAAGCTAACACAAAAGCATTAATACATGCATACATACATACTTACATACATCAAATATGCAGCCCGAAATGAATATAACGTATTTATAACTCAGCCAACATATAGAGGTGAAACGAACTCAGCCTCTCTTGGTGAAATCCATGTAGCTTGGGTGTGATGGCTGCCCGTTTGTGCTCATCTGCTGGTTCTTGTTGTTCCCAAACTGATTCATTGCCGATTGCTGAGATGAGAATTGAGCACGGTTGTATGAATTTCCATTCCCCTGAGGAATTTCTCCAGCTGCCATCTTAAGTCGGTTCAGTTCATCCCGCAGCGCTTCATTCAAAGCTGGAAATTACACCGAACAATATACGTCGTAAAGGGGACTTAAATATTTCAAACAAAAAAAACTTTGGTTTACATATTCAGAACGACCCAATGAAAAAGAAAATGGCTTACCATCCCTAAGTTCAGCTTGTTGCTCTAAAGCTTGAAGCCGCATTTTGAGGTGTTTATTTTCAGTGTTCAGCTCTGACGTTCCTCTCTACATAATACCACAATACAGCACACAGATTAGAATAGATGGAAAAATACGCATAAACACGAAATATTTTATCCGACTCCGCTGTTGCTTCTAGCACTAAAGTGCAAACAAAACTTAAGAGTCTTGCAAATGTTTACATTTACATTATTGACATATCTCACATGATGATTGTTGGCTAATTAACATGACAATAACATATCTTATAACACTGCATCTATACTTGTTCCTTTCCAAACACAAAGTACTAGGCATCAATTACAAGCTTATAAGCTGCCATAACCAATCAAGCGAAGTACAAGCACGAAGCCATCACCATCAAATATAACCAAATCAAGATAGTCCTTAGGATCAAAGTCTTAAAGATATGGTGTGAAAATCTTCACTAATCACATCAGCTGCATATACACAAAGCCTTAAACACAATGACCAAATCATATAAAACATTCACCTGCAACATAGTGACTTGAGCAGACAATGTAGTTGCTTCATTCTGAAGTGTCTGAACCTTCCTCTCCAACTCACCAGTATACCTAATCTTCCTCTCTTTCGACCTCGCCGCAGATTGTCTATTCGCTAAAATCCTATAAAAAAACCATCACAAAACATTACTTAAACCTCATCAAAATAAAAAAAAGTTACAAGCTTTAAGAAAACAACCCTAATTTTATACCTTTTAGCTCTTTTAGGATCAAGCAAAGCAAGCTCAGCAAGTCTATCACCACCCATACCCATATTCTTCTTCCCACTATCTTTACCACTCACAGAAGCTAAAATCGATTCGATATTAAACGACGCCGAACTCATCTCTCCATCCATAGAATTACTCCTGTTATGATGATGATTCCTTTTCTTCTTCTCTCCTGAACTCGTAGCTAAAGATTTCCCAACATATTGTTCCTCAGTAACTCCTAAATCATCGAAGAAATCTGAATCAACCGAGAAGCTACGAACATGGCGACCAAATCGAGCTTCGGGTTTCGGAGGAAGAGGGTTAGGAGGAACAACACCGTTGGATGAAGTTTCTTCAGAAGGTGAATCAACGGACATCGGAGAAGCTTGTGGTTGTTGTTGTTGTGGTGGTGGCGCGTTGAGGAAGTCTAGGGAAGAGAAATCGATATCGGAAGGATCGAATAAGAGGAGATCGTCGATTGATTCGCCGGAGAAGAAGGTTTCAGAGCGAGCTCGACGGTGGTGAGAGATACGTTGACGTGGAGCTTCAGGCATATGTTCTATTTCACTGAGAATCGTTTGATTTGGTCCTCCTCCTCCTTCCATTGGTTTTTTTTTTTCCCGGCGGCGAGGTTTTCACAAACCTACCGAGAGATTTCACAGAAATGTGAAAGTACAGAAGAAATTTTGTCGAGAGGGCAGGTAAGTACTAAGTAGGGACCAAAGTGATGTCTTTGGTCTGAAAAACCTATATTCTCGAAAGTTACCAACTTATTTTTTAAAAAATATTTAAAAATAAAAATTAATTATCTTCTCCGGTTAGGTTGGTTTTGTTCTACTCGGAATGATGGAACGCAATACATAGAAACTGCTAATCTTCAAAGAAGCTTAACCTTACTTCACACAGAGGTCTAATTTGGGCGATGAGATGTATGATCGGCCAAGACAAGATAGAAGTAGTTTTCCTTACGGACAGCTCCGATCTGATGAAGATGGTGTTTTCTCCGCAAGAGTGGCTAGCGTTCGCAACATACCTAGAAGCAAATTCAGAGTGACAAGGAAAAGTTCGACGTATTCTCATTACCTTTAGTTTCTCGAAATACGAATGTGAAAGCGGATGAACTAGCTCGAAATGTTCGTACCCAACCGCATCTTTTCACATATGTAAACAATTTTCCCCAACATTGGCTTATCAGAATCAATCTAATATAGATGTTGACAAAAAAAAAAAAAAAATCTTATCCGGTAAAGTTGGCCTGTACCTAGTAGAAATCTGGGTACCCGGAGCTTTAAAGTATATGGATCTGTTCTGTAATTAATTATTTATATCGGTATCTACGGTTTCCGGATATCCGTTTTAAAATCAAAATATTAGAGGATCTTTGGAGTTAAATTCAGATCTGTTTTTTTTTTGTAAATTAAAAGAATTAAAATCATTTTTATGTAAAAATTAACAATATACAATATACGTAAAGATTCAATTCCAAATATGCTATTTTTCAAATCGTATTCGAGCGAATTTTGGATCGGATATGGGTTTTTAGTTTATTTTAGTTATTTTTTGAATTATATTGGAGCAGAACATTTCAGATCGGTTAATCTGCGATCCGAACACTTTTCTATTTTGGATTTAGTGCAAATATCTGGTAATTTTAAAATCGAAAACCTTATAAAATTTGTTTTTGATCCGTAATCTGGTGAACCGGTTGACAATACTTCATTTGATTTTAGAAATAAAATACTTCTTCTGTTTCAAAATATAAGGCATTTTGGACATATTTTTTTATTCAAAATATAAGTCGTTTTCAAGTTTTTATGCATATTATATATTACTTTAATATTTTATAATTATTTTTATTATACAGTTTTTTTTATGATTGACGGAACTTTTAAAAAATAGATCTTAATCGGTATGTTTTTAGCTAAAACGTTTTATATTTTAAATCGGATGGAGTATAAATTTTTAGTGTATTTGAGAACTTTTTCAATTCTTCTCAAGCGGTGACATAAGAGTCAACGCACATTTCTCAAGAAGGTGGATATATCGTAGAAGTGTTTATGTGTATATAACCAATCCTTTAAAAGAGGTTGACCAAAACCAATAATACTATCTACTAGAAAATATTCTAGACAATAAAAACTCAATATATAAATGTTGAATAACAGAAGTAACATGATCAAAACTAATATTTATATGTAATTAACTATTTATTGGGATGGAACCATAGTTAGCCATTTCAAGACCTTATGCCTAAATCAGAATATGAAGATCAATGTTATTAAAAGCAATTTTATCCAACAATTAAAATATTCATTTGTCTCAATAATGTTCAATAACAGATAACAAAAATTCTACATCAATACACAACATGAAAAAAAACGGACAACGCAAAGAAAGTTCAGACGCGCGTCTAAACCGCCAAATCAAATCAGCAGTTTCCCGTTTTTTTTGCTTTAGAATCCAACGAGCCAGAATAACGCTCAAGCTTTCTCATAATACAACATTCTTCAGACTATACTTGGAGGATCTCCAGACCAGCTACAAGCAGCACGCGACCACCGAGTTCTGATACAATCCACCAATGGTGCATGCTGTACCGGTTTAGGCTGATTCACTTCTGCGTCTTTCTCAGAGCTGCTCGGCGGCAGTGCACATGACATGTACTCTTCTGGTGTCCATTTAGGAGGAACAGCGACGTTTAGTTTTGTCAGCCTTGGCCTTTGCATAGGAACCGTCCCACCTTCCACAGCGATTGATTGACCACCACCGTTTATATCGGATTTGGCAATCCCGTTGAAGTGATAAATATCAAACACTTTCTTTCCCATCATTCCTGTTGAATCCTTTATCCCTCCCAAATTTCGGTCTAGTTCCAAGATCACTTGCCATAACTCGCTCCACACGATGAAACCCGTGGCGCAGATATCGTTGAGCTTCTCTGTTGGGAGTCTGATGTTTGTTTCCTGAACAACTTGGTGAAAGGCCTCCACGCTGATGAAGCCTCCTCCTCCGCTTTCGTCTCTTGCATCGAAAGCTCTTCTTATCTCAGACTCTCTCAGCTCAAGTACGTTTTCTTCTTGGACAGATGGGTCGAGTGCAAACAGGACGGTGTAATGTGACTCGCTGCCAATAACCCATATTGGCCATTTGGGACACTTGAGATTCTGACCGACTTTGCAGAAATTGAGAGACTCGAGCAACGTGAGGAAGCCCACATCCACATTCTTAGATATGCCTTTTAGAAACATGCCGCCTCCAAGATCCATCCTTCCATCAAACACATTAGGAACCGCTTCTCCACACAACAGCAGGTTTACAATTTCCTAATAAATGAAGGGGCATAGAGAAAAATCAGCAGAATTCAAAGAAAACGGGATAGAAGTAGAAGAAACAATTAATCAGTCTAGATTTTGAAATGTGTTTGTTCTATTACCTGGGAGGCATGTCCAAATGGTGCAGTGACTAGAGGGAGGTTTGGATCATCCCTGTCGGCTTGAACGGAATCCTGTTCATCACAAATTATTCATTAACGCTACAA